TGTAATTTGATATGGAATATCTCTGAAGCCATTCTCTTAAAAAAAGAAATTCTCCGTGTATAAACTTGTATGGACATATTCGGCATATAAATTTGCATAATTAGATATAATTATTTTAATTTGTGTATAAGTATATATAAAAAATTTTTTACCGGGCAATATGCTAAGTTTTATTGTCAATCAATTGTTGTAGCCAATGTTTATGACAAGTGAGTCAGCAATATGTGAGCAATATGTGAGCAATGATTTTTATTCATAAGTTGAGAAAAATAATATAAGTTTATTGTCGATGAGTTGTTAGGAATTTGCTGTTATTATATTCTGAAAACTGTTGCTGGCAAGAACATACTGAAAAGAGGATACACCCTTTTGTTACATTGCTGAAAACTTATGAGCAATATTTGCGGCAAGTTGCCAACAACTTGCACTCAGTTGGCTATCTGGGTGGTAGTGCTACTTTATTTAACTATTTAAAACTACACAAAATTTGTTACGTTCTCAGAAATAGCTTTTATTTAAAAATAACTATATATATACTGTGTGTGTGTTTGTGCGTGCGCGCACGTGTGCGTGTGAGTAAATGTATATATGTATATAGTTTTTCTTACTCTATTACTTGAAGTAGAAAACTGTCGTCTTAGATTTATATTCTTTTCCAGGGTCGATTCGTCAGTCGTCTCATCCTCTGCTGCCAAAAGTACTCCGTACTCAGGTCGATAGGCCAGTAGATCCATATAGTGCGAGAAATATTTAATTTTTCCTTGCTCAATTAAAATAATAGCATCGACACCTTTTATGTACTGCAGCTGATGCGTTGCCAAGATCGTAGTCTTCCCAGCCAGATATCTCTGAATGCATTTTTGGAACAGATGTTTACTGACGTGAGCATCAACCTAGAATGTTAAACCGATCGATACATCTATACATTTCCACCAAACACAATTATTACACACCAATATATTCATTGTTGATGGTTTCTCACCGCACTTAAAGGATCATCTAGAAGATAAATATCCGACTGTCTATACAGAGCTCTGGCCAAGTTAATCCTGGCTTTTTGACCGCCGGACAACGAACTGCCTCTCTCTCCCACAATGGTCTGATCTCCTTGAGGAAACTGTTTAAAGTCGCGCGGCAAAGCGCAAGCTTTGATCACTTTTTGATAACGTTGACGATTGTAAGCTTGTCCGAATAATATATTCTGCCGAATAGAAGCGCCAAAAACCCAGGCCTCTTGGCTGGCATAACTGATGCTACCGTTCACCTTTACTTGGCCTTTCATCAGGCTAAGCTCGCCTAAAATGGTGGACAGAAAAGAGCTTTTCCCACTGCCCACCATGCCGATGACCGCGTATAACTTGCCCTTTTCTATTCCCAGATTCAAGTCTTCCAGAGTGTTTTCCGGTTGTTTGCTCAGCCACTTGGCAGTCACGTCGATCATGTTGATGGCCCACTTCTCGTTGACTGATTGTTTTTTCTCTGTGAATAATGAAGATTTTTCGATAAAAATAAATAAATTAAAAGGACATCTATATGTATCTTTTAAAAGAAATCTTACAAAAAATAGCTTACAAATCCTTAACTCGTAAATTTACCTTCAACATGATTAGTGCTATTATTCAGTAAATCAATGGCCACAACTAATCCGTTCGGCTTCTTGCTGTTCTCGATACTGATGCTTTCGCTTGTGTTTTCGACTACGTCGTCGTCAATGTAAGGTAGATCTGGCTCGTCAGGAGATTCTTTGGTTGTTGAATTATCGTGTAGCGTATCGTTGGAGGACGACAGTTTATTAACGACGTTGCCGTCATGGAATTCTTCGAGCTCCAAAAGATTCTGCAATCGTCTAATGGCCACCATGCACTCGTTCAACTCAGCGTAACCGCGCACGAACATGCCGGTAAGAGTGTGCGAGAGGATGTTGAAATAAGACGAAACGACAAAGATTTTGTCGGCGGTGATATCGTCGTCGGACAACAGCATCGTGATGAGTGTGCTGTATAGCGCCATACGTGTTGTAAAGAGATTAAAGGTCATATAAATTCCACGGATATAAGAACTCTTGGTGACCACTCGCAGCTCGAGTTTCCGTGCCAGCTCGATCATAGCGCAGAACGGTTTTTCCCAAGCGTACATTTTGATCACTTGTACTCCGGAAATAATCTCATCCATCAGTCGAACCCGTTCGTCCGTCTTGATGGCAGTTTGAAGACGGAACCTCGATGACAATTTGCCAGTATAAGCTGTGATTGAGAAAATCTTTTCAAACTAATAAATAAACATTAATTCTGATTTTTAATTAATGAAGATAACTGAAGATATTCACATTGAAGCGGTACAACTAGAAGAGTGGCAAAAGCTCCGATAAGACCAGGAATGCCGGCCTCATGGTAAAGAATATAGGCCACGATCAGGGCTTGCAAAGGTGCTGACCACATGTGATGAATAAAAATCGAAACAAGATCGAACCTATTGACATCGTTGGCCACTAAGTTGACTACCTTTCCTGGTGCTGTCTCGTTCAGTGCGGTTTTGCTCAGTCGTAAAGCCTGCAACCGCACACATTACGTAACTTGTATACTAAGGTATGTACTGATAAGTGTCATATTGTACAAGAAAAGTTACGAGAAGATTTAGAAAATCAATATTTTATCAACATAATGTGCATAATATATGTGATTTCTTAACTGGTCAATTTTGATTTGATACTATTATAAAAGTTTTAAATCTTTATGCAAAAATCAAAGAGTAATTTTTTTTGTGAATAATCAACCAAAAAGTCTATGTGACCGACCTTTCTGTATACCACGGAGCAAACGGCCACGCGAACTTTGGCACCCACATGAAAAGCTCCAAAAATTGCCTGATTGCCGCTTATCACGTTCACAGCGGTCGCTATGCATATACCAGCCCCATAAGCCAGAGCGATTTCGTAAAGTTCCACCGAATTTTTTCGAAAATAACGCAGAAGACCTCCCAATAAGAACGGCGTGCCAAGTCTACAGATAGTACTTGTATTATCCTACATAGCATCGTAAGTAGCGCAAACGTTTCTGCAACGGGTTTTCCGAAACTTAGCAACGTTTCGTGAAACGTTTCTAAAACGTCGTAGTAACGTAGCGGAAACGTCGAAATGTCCGCTTTTTAAGTTTCGGCCCGATTTCGTTGAAACGTATGAGAAACGTTGCCCGATAAGCAAAGTTTTTAATTTTTATATTTTTATAAACATTGTAAAATACATTTTTGAAATCATGCAGGTTTTGCCTGTTTAACCATTCTCCAGGAAAGAGTGATTACTTAAGTAATAAAAGCGGACATTTCGACGTTTCCGCTATGTTACTACGACGTTTTAGAAACGTTTAACGAAACGTTGCTAAGTTTCGGAAAACCCGTTGCAGAAACGTTTGCGCTACTTACGATGCTATGTGAGATGTTTTTTTAGTTTGATATACAGGGTGTCCGACAATTACTTTAACATTTTTTATATGCAGATAGAAGGAGTAAAACTAAGTCAAAAAGATCTATATCATTTTGTGAGATTCGCAATAGTTATCGAAATTTTAATTAACAAATATCTGTCAATATGCATCCTAGCAAACACAGATACATAAATGTAATATTGCCGTAATGAAACGGAAAGTAACAAGTAATATAACGTGTTTGTTACATATAACGTTGTAACGATGCAAATCGTTACGGCCGGGACCGGCCATCCGTCCCGGCCAAAAACACGGCGCTTAGCGCCAAATAATAATTACAGAAATCAGCGTATATTAAAATATACGCTGACGGCCTGCGCGCCACCCGCACCGCGCGTTTCCCCGCGCCACGAAACGGCCTGCGCGCCGTCCCCGCACTGCGCGCTACCCCGCGCCACGAAGCGACCTGCGCAC